CGGTCACCCCCACGTGCCCCCTGGCTGAGCCAAAAGCTTTCCGTGCTCGGGGTGGCACATACCCCACGGCGGCCCCGCCGGCGCCGGGAACAGGATCCGTCCAGCAACACGCTGTTCCAGACAGGCAGGACCACGTATGGCTGATCCATCTATGCATCAGGGAGGGCTGCGGCTCCCCTTTAAAGTGGGGGCAGAAGCCATACGGGTTCAGGTTTCTCCTCTCACCTGTCGCTAAATCAAAGGCCATTTGGATTTAATCTCCGGGAGAGGCAGGTTTAACCCTCTCCTGTGTGGCTCGGTGTCCCCACGCTGCGGTGAGGACCTGCCTCACCGACCTCTGACAGAGGCAGCGGGGGCAGACGGGCAGCTCGCTGCTCTCCTCCCCTCTCCCATTTTCATCTGGTCTCCCATCCAGGGCTCAGTCCAGGTGGGAGAAGAGATGCTTCGCCCCACGAGGCTGTTGCCCCACCACTGCCTGTGGTGATGGGCAGCACCTGGGGACACGACATGTGGTGGAGATGGTCTCGCAGGGGTTTCTCCTTACTGACCGCTTCCTTCTCAGCTGGAACGCCAGAAAGCCCTCCTGAAAACACAGTCGCTCTCACATACACGATGAACTTAACCATGGGCAGAAACAGGAGGCAGAGGCACAAGCAGGTGGCATGGGGTGGAAGCGTCCTGTGGGCCCGGGCTGCCTCTGTGTCCTGTTACGGGGTGCAAAGGCACGGGGTCCTAGGACATCGGGTACCCCATAACAGGAGTCAGCCATGTATCAGGTCCATCAGCTTCCAGAAGCTGGCTGGGACTCATGGAAATGTGTCACGGTGCTGCAAATGATTTGCCACCACGTCTGTAATGATGCTTCACTGTCTGTGAGCCACGGGCACGGCTCACGGCTGCCGGCAGCCAGGAAAGCACTTCACCCCACTGCCCAGTGCCGAGCGGCTCGCTGGGCAGCCCAGGTTACTGGGGCACCATGTCTGGGACTGGAACAACACCCAGCACCCGTTGCTGTGCTGGAGACCATTGCTCCCGGCTTCCTCGGCAGCCACTGCGCCCCCTGAACCGTGACAGCTGAGCATCCAGATGTGAGCTCCCTGAAAACACCTCCAGACACAGCATGGGCTGTTCCTGAAGTTTGCAAATTGTCTTACTGAAGCGCATCTCAGCGCTGCAGAGGAGCCGTGGCCGGCGGTGGAGCTGGGGAGCAATCGACCGGTGGGAAAGGTTCGTGTGCTCTTCTGGGTTCCCCCTCATGCAATCACCTTAAGGCTCGCTAGTGAAATAAAAAGGAATGTTTGTAAAAGATGCTGCAAATCTTGGCAGAACATGAGGATGTTTATTTGGGAGAGCTCAGCTCACACCCCTGCAGCAGAGGAGCTCCGTCCCTCCGGTGCGTGGGCTGGCTCAGGAACAGAAGAGCCACTGCAGTGTCCCCTGTCCTGGACTGCAAACAGCAGCAGGAGTGGAGCATGTTTCTTGTGCAGAGCCCAGAGTTTCTCCTGTACCAAGTGCTGTTGGCTTTTTCCAGGAATGGGGGTCCCGCTCCCTCTTCCCTGCGCCTCCCTGCGTCTGCTGCTCCCCAGCTCTCCCCTGCTGGCTCATGGTGGGGAGCAGCAGTGCACAGGCCATTTTCCAGCATTCTGCCCCAAACTACCGTCTTCTGAGTGCTGAAGGCAGGGGCTGGTTGGTGTTTCAAGCTCAGCTTGCTGCTCTGCCTGCGCCCCAGTTGGGACCTTGGGGACCGTCCCTCACCCCTGCCCGGGGTATCGCACCACTCCGTGGCTGCTGGCCCTGCAGGAGACTGGCTCTGGGGTGAGGATGACCAAGGACCCTCTTGTCACATGTCTCCACGCGCCCCTTGCTCCAGACCCACCAGCACACACGGGGTGCGGGGCTCCACCTGCCCCAAACCCACCCCCCAGCTTGTCTGTGCCCCATCCCAGCTCCTGCCCATCGCTGCTCTCATCCCTCCGTCCTTCCTCCCGCTGCCAGCAGCTCGGGGCTGTTCTCTCTCCCTCACAGGCAGCTGCCTCCCTCCCTCCCTCCCTCCCTCCCTCCCTCCCTGGGGCGTCACGGTCCAGCTCTGGCAGAGGTTTTGCCCCCGCCACGCTCCAGTCCCCACGGGCGCAGCGTGTGCCCTGGGTGCAGGAGCCAACTTCCCCCCACCCCCCCCCGGAGTTACTCAATCCCCAGGTGCCGGATCCCGGCCGCTCCCCCAGCCTTGCTGAAGCCAAGAGCCATCGCAGCGGGTCCCCATGGACCGATGCACGGGTCACGGGTTGCGGGATGTGGGGCTTTTCTGTAGGACTCAGCTGTGAGTGTCCCCATCTCCAAGTGCCCATAAAGGTCCCGTGACTCTTTCCCTGGGGGAAACACAGGCTGAAATAATTATTATTTCTTTTTATAATACCTGATCCAAGCTGGCTGGCCAAGCCCTCCTTGAAAAATACAGTTTTTAGGTATATCATTCTGGGAACAAAAGGCTGCAGTGGAAAACAAGTCACTGCATTCATTCTTCTCTGTTTTCTTCCCTTCCTTGCACGCAGTCCCCCCGCGCTTTGCTTTCCCTGCTGTCAGTGGACATAAGCTAATATGGAACGAGATATTCATGCAAAAGGCCTTTGGAAATATTCATTGCTCATCTCTTAACAAGATTACCCCTGAAATCCTCCATTGCTCTGAGGGAGATTTAAAACCTTTCAGGCTCTCGGTAACCATAGCAGCACAGATGTGAAAACTAAGGGGAGACAACTGATGTGAAAAATCATTGGGGATGTACAGACAGGCTGTGTGCAACTGCAGTGCCAAGGCAGGGGAGTTTCTTATCTGCAACGCATTTCTTTGTCTAACACAGCCCGGGCTGGCTCTTCGTCCTGGCCAGACCACACAGGACACATCTACTCTTTGCAGAAATGACTCAAACTGCAGACAGTGGTAGCGATGCGACACGGTGCTGGCTCCCACGGCACCAGGGTCACCTTCCCAGCCACAATTTGGGAAACCCTCCACGGCTGGCGTTGCTGCTCGGCATTTCCCACCACATCCATCAGCTCACGGGTCCTTCCCTGCAGGGTGCTGGCAAGAGCTGGGGGGGTTAGAGCCAGGATGGGGGCTTGGAGCCCAGGGTCCCCATTCCCTCCTGCCATGGGTTCCTCCTTCACCTTAGGCACCATTTCTGCACCTGTAAGAAAGGTACTGTGTGTTGTGAGGTTGAACAGATCCATGTTTTGAGGCCATTTGGATGAAATAAATACTGGGAAAGCGAGCACCTCTCAAGAGCTGGCTGAGCCCTGCAGAGCTTCACCACAGCCGGCTGGGAGGAATTACAGAAAACCCTTTTCATGTTCTCTCCTGAAATCCTGTCACTGTGTCTATCTAAGCACAAAGAAGCATTAACAAAATTCTTTTATAATACAAAAAAAAAAAAAAAAAAAAAAAAGGTTTTGGGCTTTAAACAGCTTCCAAAACTGGGGTGAAATTACTCGTCACACCCTGCTTCTTCCTCACCACCTTTGGTTCTTCACTCCCACTGATCTCGACAGCACACCAGGCACCAAATGGCAATCGCTGCTCCATTCACGTGCCTACACCCGGCAACCTCTGCTCATCTACCCCTTCTCCTGGTTTTTGGCCTGCTGAAGTCCCGTGGCCATGCCATCACATCTTCTGCGTTCTCAGCTCCTTCTAACTCCTGCGGCTGAGTCCTTGGCACGGCCTTTGGGCTCTCCTCATCGCACAGCCTGTCTCTCCAGAACGAGCTTCACGTCTGCGAGTGAAGGTGCATCACTGGATGGTGCCAAACCCCACAGGGTGCCATGAGGTACTGGGTAGTTTTAGACACCAGTCCCGTTGCCAGTCCTGTTAGGAACCCAACCTTCCCCTCCTCCCAGGGCAGGCTGAGCTGAGGACAGGGATCCGTTCACCCCGATGCAATCGCTTGGCTCTCCTGATAATAAGATCAGAAAGGGAAAGCTCTTAACGTGGCTAAAATGTAATGGTAATCGGGGAATTAAGAGGCAGCAACAATTCTTGTGAAAAGGGCTTCTAAAATCCACAGAATAAATTCAGCAAAAACTAAACACCAAAAGTGGTACTTTGCTATGGAAAGAAAGCCAACCACATTAAAATTGCAAAAACTAGTCCAAAGCTAGAAAAAAAACCACAAGCACAAATTTAGGATAAGAACTTATTTTAACTTTTGAGCAAGTTCCCTTTGTATTTGCACTTTTCATAAATCAGCTTCTGAAACAACTCTGGCATGAAATAGGGAAGGTGAGGGAGCGCACCCAGACAGGGCAACCTGCCCCTCTGCGAGCAAACCCGCTTCCAGAGGGGATGCCCATCCATGCAGAGACCGGCACCGCCACACACGCCTCTTCGCCGCCCGGTAAATCACCCAACCAGGTCACAGCCAGCGTTCCTCCCCACAGCTGCCCAGCATCTACTCCTGGAGATCGTGCTGCATCATTTTCAGGGAGATTTTATTTTCCCCTCAGGTTAAATATTTCATAAAATCACAGAATAACTGACAGCTGAATGTGGAGGTGATGACGCACGAGTTTCAGGGAGAACTTATTTTTCCCCTCAGGTCAAATATTTCATAGGCTCACGGAAGAGTTGGGCACGTTTGCATCAACCCCATCTGCAAACAACTCCCCGGCCCCCGATTAGCACAAGCAATGCTGCGGACGACAGCGGCCGGCCCCTGCCATGTCCGGCCATGAGCCACCCCATGGGTGGGGGACCCCCACCGGCCTCCCCCGCCGCCAGCACGCCCGCGCCCAGAAGCACACATTAACCTCCGGGGAGGACAAAAGGGCAGGACGGCTCTCGCAGCGTGCCGGCGGCGATGCTGCCGGCTCCCCGGTGCTACCGGCAGCGGCGGGCGATGCAACTGCAATGTGCAACGTAGCGTGCTGCTCTCCAGGGCTGGAGTGGCTTTCCAGGACTGAGCTCCGCGGATTGGCCCGGAGCACCCCGCTCTCCTCCCTCCCTGCCCTCCCTCCTTCAGCACCCTCAACCCACGGAGATTGGACAGCCTGGTGCCACATGGCAGAGAGCAACCGGGATAAAAGATGAGCTGGACTGGGGGACTGTAGCATCTGCAGCAAAACAGTGGGGAGAAGTTTGCAGGGAGGTGGCACCAAGCTTCCCCGGCTGCACCGAGCCACTGCAGGGGAGGGCAGACAGACGGACGGGCGCCGGGGCTGTGGCCACTCAGGGACACCCGTGGGGTGAGCGGCAGCTGCAGAGCATCCCGTCCCCTCTGCGCCCAGCCATGTCCCTGGTGGTGAAGGAAAAGAACCACGTGCGGTTGGTCTTCTTGGGTGCTGCTGGCGTGGGCAAGACAGCCCTCATCCGCCGCTTCCTGATGGACACCTTTGAGCCCAAGCACCGGCGCACGGTGGAGGAGCTGCACAGCAAGGAGTACGAGGTGAGCGGGGCCACGGTCAAGGTGGAAATCCTGGACACCAGTGGCAGTTACTCCTTCCCGGCCATGAGGAAACTCTCGATCCAGAACAGCGACGCCTTCGCCCTGGTCTACGCCGTAGATGACGCCGAATCCTTTGAGAGCATCAAGAGCTTGCGGGAGGAGATCCTGGAGGTGAAGGAAGACAAGTTCCCTCCCATCGTGGTGGTGGGCAACAAGGCGGAGAACGGCGGCGGGCGGCAGGTGCCGGCGGAGGATGCTCTGTCACTGGTGGAGCTGGACTGGAACAGCCGCTTCGTGGAGACGTCGGCCAAGGACAACGAGAATGTCCTGGAGGTCTTCAGGGAGCTGCTGCAGCAAGCCAACCTGCCCAGCCGGCTCAGCCCGGCGCTCTGCAAGAGGAGGGAGACGTTGCCCAAGGAGCAGGCGCTGAGGCCTCCCATGAACAAGACCAACAGCTGCTCGGTGTGCTGAGCCGGCCCCCGGGGCCGGGGGAAGGCGCCGGCGGCAGCGGCACCGGCTGGAAACCCAGGTGGGGAGAGGCATCGCCTCGGCCAAAACCAACCCCCCTGCCTCCCACCCCTTTCCCTCCTCTTCCCCACCCAGCCCGCCGGGGCCGGTGAGGGTTGGCGATGACAGGGAGGAGGGACTTGGAAGGGATGCTGGCTGCTGGAAGGGCGCGGGGAAGAGGGCGAGTTCCCAAAAAGGCGGGGGGAGGAGGGCCAGGGAAACCGCCGTCCGGCACCGGCACGTCGCATCCGCGGGCGGGCAGCTCCTCGCGTGCCGGGAGAGGAGGACAAGGGACGGGCCTTCGGCTGCGCTCCCCCGGCTCGCGTTCGGGGCCTGTGTCACCTCGCCCCCAGCACTTGCACGTACAACCTCCTGGCACAGCTACGGTCACGACGGCAGATCCAGTGTCCAAAGTAGTTCTGATTTTGTACCCTGCCGTAGAGCATGAGATAGGGCAGTCGATGCATCTCTTTGGTTATCTCTTTTCTCTTTTTGTTTTGTTTTGGTTTTTGTTTTTTTTTTTTTCTAAAGCACACTCAATAAACATATTATTGCAAAACAGAGCTGGAAAACACCTGAGTTTCTTTCTCCTGTACTTCAAATGCTTCAGTGCCTGATATCAGTGCCTGGACCCCTTATCACTGCGTTTGCTTTCCCTCCTCCTTGCTGCAACCTTATCTGAAGCACCCTGGCACTGGAGGAGCCTCCCCAGCCTCCCCTGGCAGTGTCAGGACATTGGGTGTTATGATCTTCCTGACAATTTAACCACTAAAGTTTTTAGCAAGCATGAGTAACAAAAAATAAAACAGCTCTTCTCACATCCAAGTACCAAAAAGAACAACAGCATTTAAAAGAGAGCTGATCCACTGAAATAAAAGCTGTAAGCACATTAAAAGGAGGTAATAAAAGGAGCGAGAGAAGAGCACAGAAGGGCAGTATTTACTGTGCTTTAGCATGCACTGCACTGATTTACTCTCACCTTACACACCCCATCCTTGCTGTAACAAGCATTTAACCTGCTCAGCAGCCGCACAAACACAATAAATAAAGATATTAAAGCTTGGTGGGTTAAAGAGCCATTCACCCTGGTCCAGACCCAAGGGAGCCGGGCAGTTTGGGGTCTCCAGCTTTCAGAAGCCCAGCCCTACAGCACGGTGTGCCCCTGCCCGGCCCAGGCGGATGCAGGATCGCACCCGGTGGTCCCAGACCTGCCCGAGGTGGGCAGAGGAGGAGGAGAAGGTGTGGGCAGGGAGAGCCCAGCCTCCCTGTGAGCATCCCTGGCTGGGTCACCCTGCTGCCACATCCCCCGTGGGCACCCAGCACAAGGACAGCAGCCTCCGGGCAGGCAAAGCGTCCTCCTGGAGCCCGGAGGGGGGAAGCAGTTGGGGGGGGGGGGCGGGGGGCATTGGGGAGGGGGCTGGCAGGCTCTGCAGGACCCGCTGCTGGCAGGCTGGGTGGGTCGGGATGCCCACACCGCTCTCCGGCTCACAGCCACGTCCCGCGTGGAGCAGCAGAGCCCTTTCCTGAGGAAGATGGGGCTCCTGCCTGGAGGGAACATGACACGGAGGAAGGTCACTCTCGGCAGCTGACCCAAGGCAGCGGGGGGGGGGGCACGGTGGATGCAGCCACGGGTGATGCTGAACCTTGGCCCTACCCATCACCCGGGTCACCCGCCGTGGCCCGAGGGGGACGGGGCTGTCCCGGGCAGCGCTGCCCACACTCAGCCCCTCACTGGGGTGTCGGGCCGTGGTGAGGCACCTCGGCTGGGGCGGAGGGTCCTGCCTTGATGAGCCGACCTTGCGCTAATTAACCAGCCCTGCAGGAATTTCATAACTTGCAGAGAGGGGTTTTTAAAATGTTGTTTTAGAGCAGCAGAACCAGGCTTTTTGGTTTACAGCGTTACAGTGTTATGCTAAAAGCAGAAGAAGACCTCTTTGCAGGGTAAAATTAGGAAGCTGGGACAAGCAAGGCTGCCTGCCAGCCCCCTCCTGTGCAGCCTGCCCTGAGTGTTTCGATGCATGATATGGACTGGAAACAGCTTCTTATGTCTGGGGTGGCCCAGTGGCTTCCCCAGGCTCAGGCTGGCAGAGCCCCCCAAGCCACCGTGGGGAGAGGCTCCCCCCCACCCCACGGCTGGCCTCCCCGGGCAGAGCAATAACCCCCGGGTGCTTCAGGACCCCCACTCCCAGCCAGCCCCGGCCCAAGACCCGCAGGGTACAGCAGCCGCTGGTGCAGAGATGCTGAGGAAGATGCTGGAGCTGCAGAAGATGCAGAAACTGAGACGCTGGAGCTGCAGGGACCCTCTAGACGGGCCCATCTCCCAGTGCCCCTGCAGAACTGGGCTCCAGCAATGAGTGGAGCCACTGGAGGAGCTCACCCAGCACTCTTCAGCCCTTCTGCCTCTCACTTGCAAAATCCCTCTCTGGGGCATTGTGGGTTTAGGTTGGTTTTTTTTTTTTTTGCAACATTTCCATTAAATGCTGTTGCATGGGCCTGCTGAGCCAGGGTTACAAACAGCTGCCTCGCTTGGATGTTGGAGTTAGCAAGCTTTGGCCATGCAGGGATGTGGTGTAGAACCTGGGGTTAGCAAGCATTTGCCATGCAGAGACTCTGGCAGGACAGAAGCCTTTTAGATGTGTTCTCCCCATGGCTCTGTGCAGGATGCAGGGCAAGGGAGAGCAGCCCAGAGCCTCAGCCCCTGCCAACCTGCAAGGCCCCTTTCGCTGCGGTAAGGTTGTAGAATAGCTGTAATAACAAAATGCAAATAAAGGAGTGTGGCAAGAGCCCCCGGTGCCTGTCCTGGAGGAGAGATCTGTGCCAGACACTGAGTTGTCCTGCGAACTGGTGTGAGCCCTGCCCCGGCTCCCGCCTGTGCTGGGCAGAGCAGGGCAAGATGTGAGGTTAAAAATAGGCAGCTCCTATGTCTCATGGCCTGAGATGTGTGTGTGCAGCCTGTGTTCAGCCTCTGTTTATCAGAAAAAAAGCAGCTAAGGGCGCTCCCTGGGATCTGGGTCACACAGGGGTTGTAAAGCCCTACTGTGGGCGAGAGCTGGCTCGGTGCCTACGTGTGTCTCGGTACAATGGGCTGTGGTGAAGAACTAAACACCTGCAGCTCATTTTCTTTCAACAAGTGGCAACAGGTGAAATGGCTTTTCTTTCCCAGAGGGCAGTCACAGCCACCGAACACCGCAGAGCTGCAGCACGGGAAGATGGGTCGGGAGGGTGGCAGGGGAGTGGGTGATAAATGAAGCTGTGCACACAGAGGTTGGCTAGAGCTGTCCCTGCAAACATCCCACAGGCACATGCCTAATGAGAGGAGCAAAATTTACCCTTCCTTCTGCTTCCCCTCCCAGGACGAGAGGGCAGCTGGGGCAGATACTTCATGCCAGGGCTTCAGGGGAAAACCTGGGGAGAGCAGGGTCCACCCAAACATCCACCCGGGTCTCCCCCAGCTCAGCTCTGCCCTGAAGCGCTTGGTTGTCCCCAGCAGAGCTGTGGGGACAGAGGAGTGAGCTGTAACCCCGGGCACTTGCAGCCTGGGCACTCCTCGGGGGGTCAGGGGAACAGCAGCTGAAGGGGGTCTCACCTCCGGAGCACGAAGCCGTCCAGCGTGCAGGAGATCCAGCATGCAGAGGGGAGGGTGCCTGTGACGGCGGCCCGGGGGCAACCAGGGCCTGCCGGGGGCTGAAGGGCTGTCGTCTCTGTCAGATGTGTGTTGGAGGCTGCTGCAACACCTCCGGGCGCAGGATCCGGGGAAAAGCCTCTGTCCCCAGTGGGCCACGCACAGGCAGGACAGCACGACACCGCTGTCCCCGGGATGGCACCCCAGGCAGCAGTGCCCGCTCGCCCGGTCCCGTCGCTGGCACTGGAGAGGTCTCATTGCATTGGTCCTCTCAGTCCATTAGCTGTGGTTTAAGTGTGAGTTGGTTTTTCATAGGTGGGCTGTTATGTTCATGTGCAGAGGGGCCCTGGCACTGGGGAAGGGAGATGTTCTGCTGGGCATGGCAGTGGGAGCAGGACATAGGGGTGACCGTGGGCGAGCCAGTCTCCCTTCCCAGGGCTGCTCTGTAAATCACAACCCTTCAGAAGCAGTGAGCGCTGTGCCAGGACACACACCGCTTCTCAGTGCTGCCCTGGCTGGTGCTGAGATCTCTGGTGATGCTTTTCTACAGAAAATATTGCAGTGAACTTGACATATCCACGTGCAAAACCCGTGGCTGCTCTTTCCATCCCCAAAACACCAGAAAGATCCTGAATGTCTTTCTATCACAACTCCTTTCTTCCCCTTCCCTCTACCTCCTTCCTTCTCCCAGTTGCACCATTTTACTCCAGACTTGCCTCCAGAGCAGATGCCAGCCCTGTCCCCACGCTCGCCCCCGTCACTCCCCAGAGAAGAGCTCCCTGTGATCCCTCCTGTTCTGTTCCACATCATGTAGCACATCCCATCAAACCGCGGCGAGATGCTCCCGCTTAATTTGTGTACACAAACAATCAGGGAGAATGAAGACGCTGCCTGCGAGAGCTGCCCACCAGTGACAGCCGCGCGGGCCCGCGGGGGGGGCTCAGCTGCGAGCCCGCCGTGTGCCTAATTGGTGCTGGCTGCTGCAGTTTGCTCAGGTCTTGATTGATGTAAAGCTGTGGCACAAACACTTAAACCAAGGACACCGAACAAGAAAGCAAAACATTTTAAAATGAAAAGCGGCACTTACTCGTTGAGGATATAATTAGCCGTATTTGTCTTTAGGGCCTTTTGCTAAGCGAGGCTCAGCACCGGGGAAAACAAGCTGATGGGCTAAGTGCTCTGGAAAGAGCAAACCTGCTGCCCTCACATCACATGAGTCCCATTAGGGCTCTCCCAGCCCGTCCTGGCAGTGTCCCTGGGATTCAGCGGGTCCTGGCAGCCTGGCTGGGTTCAGCTGGCCCCGCGCTGGCCACCAGCTGCGAAGGGCTGCGGGAACGTCCGCAGCGTGGCTCTCTGTAAGGGCAGCACCCTCCCGTGGTTTTCAGCCTAATAAATGTATACCCAGGACGTGGGGGGCTGCTTTCCTCCCTCACAACTTGCTCTGTGCACGCGATGAAGCCAGTTCCACGCAGCGCAGACCCTGGCAAACACTCCTTGCTCCATCGCCTTGTGCTCTCCATGTTGTAACAGCCTGCCAGCAACGCTGAAAGCCTCTTTCACCAGCATGTAACGCAAACTTAATCTGAAAAGTTTACTGATCTGCAGTGCTGGGGCCAGCTCAGGGGCCCCCAACAGCAGAAGGACCCGGAGCTGCTCGAGCGGGGCCAGAGGAGGCCACGGAGATGCTGGGGGGGCTGGAGCAGCTCCCCTGGGGGGCCGGGCTGAGAGAGTTGGGGGGTTCAGCCTGGAGAAGAGAAGGCTCCGGGGGGACCTTCGAGCGGCCTCCCAGGGCTTAAAGGGGGGACAGGAGAGGTGGGGAGGGACTCTGGATCAGGGGGTGGGGGGATAGGATGAGGGGTGATGGTTTTGAACTGAAAGAGGGGAGATTTAGATTAGACATAAGGCAGAAATCCTTCCCTGTGTGGGGGGTGAGGTGCTGGCCCAGGGCGCCCA